TTTGCTTAAATAACATCAGCACTACACCGACTTCACTCATGTTAACAGAGACTTACTCAATAGCTTTGCAGGATTATTTGTTCACGTAGTATATTGAGTGCAATTTCGTAAGCAATATCAGGATAAATTTATTGTTTGGAACGACTAAACAGTACAAAAGGTTCCTAGCGTGGCGGCGCAAATTCATTTGAATGTTGGGTAGTAAGAATGCACTGGATCACTGGGACTGTCCAGGAGAAAAACTGCAACTCTGCAAGTGACCATGGCCCAGTACAGGAATCCCTGTCGTCCGAATCTGCGTACAGTCTCCAAAAATCACGGAGAGAATAGCAGAGGCTAAACTCGAATCGAGCTCCGCGACCAGTCGTGATGGTAGATTCGGGCCTGAAGATGGCAGCCCAACAACTGAGGAACGTCTTGACCACCGTTGTAGCCAACCAACGAAGGCTGCAGAGTCAATCGACGTAAGGCTCTCACGAAGCCGGTGTCAGTTTATGCGCGGCTAAGGCAGTGGAATGATGGAACGATGTGCGGCAGGAGTAAGAGGGCACGCCGGCGACCACGGGAGCGGACTGCTCTGTGGCGAACTAACAACTACAACGGGCTCAGGATAATCGTCACCTCAGTTTGTCTCGCAGTAATGAACAAATTCGCGTATCTGGGACGTACAGAATTCCCAATCGAATCCCCCTAGCAAACCGTGATTTGGCGGACTACAGCACTCGGTCTGGTATGCCACAGCGCACTCCTTAGCGTGAAACTGGGGATGTACGAGCTGTTGTATCGACAGCGCGCCTGTACCGGACGCAAGATGAAAACGGGAACCCAATTATTTTCAACCCAACTGTGTCTCCAGAGTATAAAAGGTGGAGTAACAGGAAAGGTTCTCAGACATAGAGATCCCTGTATGAACTGACGATTTCAATATCTATACCATACTGAAGAAAAACAACTGCGCGCGGGCATCCACGCCGTGATCATAGATCACAAGCACCTACAGAAAAAAGTATCTCATGACGGTGACGAAACGGGTGCCCGCAGACAAGGCGGAAAAAGGCAATGATACGAGGACATCCTGAACACATCTATCAAGCACACGAATATCGACCGACACCGGAGACACTCAAATCTCGAATGTAAATGTTCAACATTGCATGCACTCCCCACCTGCCAGATTGTCCACGATCCCATGAGTTGGAGTTTACGCACATCGCCGTACCGACCTCATGACGACCACTTCAACTAGACACCCCATGGCATGCAATGTCGCTACCATCGTCAAAACCACGGAAGTCAGTTTTTTTAGCCTCTCCTGGTAGAAAGGCCATGTTTCAGCCCGGGTTCGCTGCCGGGGAACACAACGGTTTTAGTCGCGACGGGAAGACGGCTCAGACACAAAGGAGAAGTGCGAGTAGCTTCATTCCTATCACACAAGCCTCGATGTAGGCCCGGACCCTACTGACCCACATGGCAATTGCGCATTTGACCCACTCATCGACCCTCTCAGTAATAGGCCTATTCATCTCATTGTGAGGGGAGAACTGATGCATAGAGCCTATACCTACAAACATCACGCACACCTCACTTGTCCACACCGTCTAAGGCCATTCGGATACTGCATGGGTCCTATAGGAATTCATGAAAGCCTTCGGTAGGATGGCATTGTTCAGGCCCCTTACAACATCTTACACTATTCGCAAGCACAAGCATAAGGTCAGACACGGAAATATGGATCTCTTGCAATACACTCCCGAGGAGCATCAACTCCCGTGTCCTAACCTTAACACTAGCCCTCATGGTCCTAGCACAACAGTTAGTCCTCTTAACATTTGTCCTGCACCAACCCTAGCCCTCCTTTCATTAAACTCATACATAACCCTAATCTCTGACACTAACGCCCCCCTGGTATGTTGGACAAGGCAACCTGTAATATGGGTGAGGGGTCAGATTCCTGCGCTCAACCCAGACATAATTCGATGAAGAATAGGTTTATCAGGACACTCGCAGTCACACGAAAGCAACCGGCAAAACAACACACTTCACCCATGAAAAATTTTTGCGATGCAGTTTGCTAGCATCGTTGACAGGCAAAGCGTTGTGTAGAGAAATGCGCACATCCCGCGTACGTGAAAGACATGCTATCCGATGACGTCTGGATATGTGGAGTGAAGGAGTAGCATGTGCGCGAAACATGCTGGACGGCAACCTCGCGCCACGCCAGCCATTGAGCCCAATCTCACATCAAGACGGCTTAACTCTGACAAGTCACTGGTGCATGGAAGTGGGAAGAGAGGGCAAGGCCGCCAATGAGTATGAATCCATCCACACGGCAGATCGGCGCTGTCAACACCAGAATACAACTCATACGCAGGATTCGTCCGATACGCCAGAACCCATCCTCCCTTTATAACAGTTCACTGTCTGCGAGCCAATCAGAGTAATTAGTCGATTCTGAGGTCTTTGATTAAGGAATTAAACGTGTGCTAGTGTAGTTGCTGTTATTCTCCTAGGTTGCGGATGCCTGTAGCGACGTCGCTGTAAGACAGTTCCTCATACGCAGGATTCGTCCGAAACGTGTTGTTGGCTGTATGGTAAACAAGCCATGACACGAGTTTGTGCGAAACCTTGACTACCGCGATGACAGTTTTACCGTCGTACCCGACGATGTTCACCGTGTGCTTCACAGCAAGATGGAGCAGGCAGGGCGACTTGTGCGTGAATTTAGCCTGGTGCATGCTGAGTAGGAGTCAGGTAGTGTGTACGTGACACACACAGACGGGTCCTTTAGTGTTGTTGGCCGCTACGCCCGAACCTTACTTCGGTAGTCTTGGATTTGTTTTGCTTTCAGAGCAAGATGGATGTGGGAGGAAGGAGGTAGATGCAACGTGTGTATGCTCCAGTACAAACTTATGCGCATGTCACCGCTGGGTCTACTTTATGTAGCAGTGGTGGACCTCGTCATTCGAAGGCTAGTGGATAATGTCTCAAATAAGGGCGACTCGGGACCGCGAAGTCCCCCGACAACGCAAAGGAAGGGGGAGAGATTGGTATCGTTCCAGGGCGTAGAATCCACGGTGTCCTTGTGGCGGCTGAGGTGCGCCAGAAGGCCACTGTGTGTACTGTATGTGCGGTGGCAGTTGTGACATGTGAAAAAGAAGCGGGCGCCGGCGCGGGTGTTTTATGGGATCCCAGTCTTTTATTCTTGCTGTTTCTCGTTGCTTTCCTATATTAGGCGGGTGCAGCTCCCCTTATAACAGTTCACTGTCTGCGAGCCATTCAGGGTAATTAGTCGATTCTGAGGTCTTTGGTTAAGGCATTAAACATGTGCTAGTGTAGTTGCTGTTATTCTTCTAGGTTGCGGAAGCCTGTAGCAACGTCGCTGTAGGAGTTCCTTTGTGAAGTGTTCATCAGACACCATTGCGTGACCGTTCGTCGAAATGTCAGGTTAAGAAATATACCCATCGTGCAAGCCCATTTCAGGAACTGGCTGTCCGAGTTCTGTCACTGTCATCATAGATATAGAATCCTCCGATGGCAGTTCAGCTCTCCCACTTGGCCGTTGTATACGACCCCGCTTTCGGCGTCGTCAGGAAGATGCACATACCCATATTAAAACAAACTACACAGCCAACTACTCTGTGGATCATATTTATGGTCCGCGCGAAGGCCATGCCTTCAGAACACCTATTATTTCGAAAACTAAACAGGAAGACCACGAAATGTTCAAAACAAACTTCGATTTAAAGTGTTTTTCAATGAATCCCGGATCCGCCATCCTGGGGAAGTACTCCCATGGACAATTCATTTCAGACTTTGTAAACTATGGCGTAGCCCTTACTGATCCTTGTGTTTAGATAATGTTGTTTTCCAGCTAGATGCTACTACAGCGACCATGAAGTCATTAGTCGGACAGGAGACGACGACAATGCTGCAACATTGTGGAAAATAGTTGGCAAGCAGTCCCTTCGAAAGAGCTATATGGGGTCAAGAAGTCGTGGGCCTGGACTGCTGACATCCTTGTTTGGATTCGAATATTCCCAGCCGTTGCTGACACAGCGCCAACCCGCGGCTCAATGGCAGATCGTTTGATTAAACGTCCAACGGCCAGAGACAAGATTCGAACTCCCGGTTCTCCCAGGCCTGGAAGTGTGCAGCTGGTTGATGACGGCCAGAAATGGTTAGTCTACCCTTTTTTATGTTTATTGGCAATATTCGATTACTGATTGCTCGCCACTGTGGGTCCGCCTGCATGAGTTCTAGACCGGAGCTTCATGGCAAAACGAAGTATTCTCAAGCCCCATACCGAAATCAGGCTAGCTTCGCAAGGCGGGACGTGATTCACAGTATTCAACCGGATAAATGAAAGGTCGGTGCCAATATAAACGGGGGAGAGGGTACAAGCATGCAGCAGTAGTCATCACGTGCACAGGATATCCAGGGCTTGGCTGAAAGTACACTCGCCGGATCTGGAACGACTTGATAGAAGCTCAATATGCGTTGGCAACGCAGTATTAAGTACGACAACTTTGCCTTTATAAGTGTTATTATTAGCTACTCACTAGGAGGACCTACAAGGCGGCATGAGAATGGTAACTCTTCTAAACTTCGAATTGGCACGTGAACCTGGGATAGAAGTTACAAAGAGGATAACGCCAAATGCACTGTTGTAGGGAACAATCTTCTGTAAATGTCAACTGATAAACACACCTATGATTAGCACTGTATCCGTCAATGAGAGTCTGCACTCCGACACTTACCACAAGGCAACTAAGCCGAATAAAGGCTAACAAATGCTTGCCAAAGGAAATCCTCCTCTCAACCTATTCACTGATACAAATTATGTCTGTGGGAAAAGAGAGCATCAAAGTAGTATAAAAGTAGTGACATTCAGAAGGAGTGTAAACAGCGCGACAAATACTTTGTCTTATAAGAAATGTGTACACAGGGGACTTAAGCAACAGCAGTCTGGAAAAAAGGAGCCAGCCTTCGTCTTGGCAGAACTACCACCCGCTTCGGTGGGAAGGAGGCGCTGGTGGTGGCAGATCATTCCATGGCTCCCGACACTGGGGGTTCTCCTGCCTGGACGATCCTCCCATGTGGCGGCCATGGGCAGGGCGCTTAGGTGGCGGTGGAAAGACGGCAGCGGGGTCTTCTCGAAACCGAGAGGCAGGCCACTGGTCATGTGCTGGGCCGTGAAAAGATGGTGGCGGCATTGGGGACCGTGGAGGTATATCGCGGAAATCGCGCTCCATCGGGTGACCGCCGTCGTGGCGCCAGGGCCCGCCCCTGCCGGGTGGGAGATGATCCCGCATCGGCGGATAACCGGGCCCTCCCCAGGGGTCATCGGGTTGTCGAGGCCCCGGGTAGTCGCGGAGTGGCTGAGGGGCCATCCCGGAGCCTGAAGGCCTGCTGGTAGATGTATGACCAGGAAATCGAGCACCGTCGCCATATCGGTCCACCCGCGGCCTAGGCATGCAGTGGTCTGGCGGTGGTGGAGGGGGCTGCTGTGACGGTGGGGCCGGAGGAGCATTGGGGTGACCCATCTGCGATGGCAGAGGACCCGACTTAGATTTGTGTGATCGGTGCAGCGGCGGTTGAGCCGAGGAGTGCTTGGAACGTGGCTCGCTGACAGTGGTACTGATATTTAAGTTGTTGGCAAACGCTAGCATATCCTCCTCCCGAGCGGCGGTGTCGAATTTTCTGCCCATCTTATGAGCGCTTCCATGACGGTGATCGGTTACACTATCTGAAACATGTAGATTAATCATAGATGATGTGTTTACAAGTTGATTTTCGATCAAAAGGTCTGTGTGTGGTCTTATTTCCCTTAGCAAATCAAGAGCAAGCAGATCCCATTGGCAAAAAACAATTCCCCCTAAATCATCATCGAACCAAGTGTACGTGTGCCTGTAAAAACAGGAGCATACACAGAAAATCTAAGGAGGTATGAAATAGAAGATTGTGCAGCTAGAATCGCTGACAGGCATATAAAAATAATGAGAAAAGGCCACAAAAGATGCGATCTTTTGGTGGCATCTAGCAAAATTGGCTCGTATCAACTAAAAAAACGTACTTCGCCGTTTCAGTCCCAGACTAGCCAAAAAGCTTGGTTGGCCGTTAGTCACAGTTTATTTTTCGACTACCAGGCGACTGTCAGTTCGAATCTATCAACGGAGGTACAACGCAGAAAGTAAAACTATGCCTACGTTCGACTTTGGAAAATAAGGTACTCGTGCAGCACAGTCTGTTGCGAGGTGTTAAACCGACGGCCTCAAAAATTTGGTCCTATGTCCCACTTTGCAGCTATCTAAGCTGCATCCGGTAGCTGGCCGTCGTGTACCACAACTCGTTTTTCCCTCCATATGGAGCAATAGGAAACGCCTGAAAAGCGGTCGCGACATTCCTCTATATCAAATAAAACCTGCGGTATGTGGTTCTCTTAAATTTTTACCGAAGACGAAGTGCTTTGAAAGTTAAGGAGATAATTGCTTCCTGGCGTTGCGGAATACTTGGGAATGACAAAGTTCACAAAGTTTAACAACTTTTTCTTCTGGGTAAAAGTCGAGAAGCCTATATTTCCGACAATGTGCAGCACTGCTACTCAAGTGACGCACTGATTACAGCAAGCTTCAACTAATAGGCTGTCCATTCTTGGAGTACAAAAGGTCTGTATCCCAGCCCAGCAGAAGTGGCTCAGACCACACCGGGCTTGCCTTTCAAGTAAAAAATAAAGGAACACTGTAATCTAATGCCGCAGAACACCTGACTGGACTCGAAGGAAGGAGGTGATCCGACTTATAGGTAGTTCGGCACTTTAAGGGGTCGGCAACATCAAAAGGACTAGCTACTGATCTGATTCAAAGAATTGAACATATTTCGTCATTCAATGATAAGAATGTTTATAAAGTGCAGAGGACAAAACTCAAATTTTCAATATTTTGCAGGGTAACCCGAACAGACCTTTGCGTCCCAAATGGTGTTAGTTTGTTTTATAGCTGTCACGCCCTACCAGAGTGAAGAGACAGTGAGGAGAGAAGCGATAAATCTTTGAGAACGAGACGATTCAGGGGGATCTTTGCAAAAACAAATTTCATAAAGAAATACCATCAGAGAATGTGTAAGAATACCTTCATTTGATGCCGGACCGTCCTTTGTACCTGGGGCTGGCACAGACTGCGAGGAACTGTGATTCGGCCGCATGTCCGAAGTGAAGAGTGGTGCATTGGTAGATGACGACCTACCCTTGTCATCATCAGCCAACGATGCAACAACATCAGAAGCCGTCGCGTTATCAGCTGTCGGCATGGTGGCGGCAGTAGTCTGAACCGACCCAGTTGAGGCGGCTTCCAGGGTAGCGCTCTGATTTTGACTAACGGCAGAAAGAACCACATGAGATGTAGGTCTCACACGCATGCTGGCCCAATTGGCCGCAAATTCCTTGGGGATGGAGCGTGCTTGACGTAGTTTGTTGCGCTCAGAGGAGTCCATCTCTGTGTCGCTGGAGTTCAGATCACAGACGGGACCTTCATTCAATCCAGGGATCTCAATACGTCGAGGCTCCTCAGTCTCCTCATTCTCGAAGGATCGGTGAACTTGAGCCTGGGACGGGGTGACCACACTGTTCTCTTGTGGAATTGGCAAGGTTGGCATTGGGAGA